TTGTGAAGCATATACTGTTACTAAGCGATTTTCTTGTCGCAGAATTCGGATCTTATTTGTTGCAACACGAGTTGCATCGTGTTCACCATACATAGATCGAAACTCCGCCAAAAAAGCTTCCAAATTGTCCAATATTGGATTTCGTTGTTCAAGAAAAGACGAAAACCACGATAATGCAGAACCAGAAAATAGAGTGCCAATAAACCTGACTTGTGATCCTGGAGTTGGATAGCTTTGCGGTTGAAGTTCAATTGTCAATTGTACTTGATAGATGAACCCTCGAAACTTTGATCTCGTACCATCAAATTTCTCAGGTAAGGCAATTCTTGGTTCTTTAGTGCTTATAGGGTGTTGTACAATTGGAGAAGGAACGTGATTTGTTGTAGATGTTGAAGCAGCTCCGATCATCTCAATATCTCCACTTTCTGCTATTCTTGTTCTTTCTTGTGTTGGTGAATTGAGTTGATGCATCGCAAGCATTAACTCCCTCATTTGCTCTTGCATTTGTGCCATTGCATTCTTCATTTCAACAAGCTCTGCCATAATGACACTAAGAAGAAAAATTTGTTTGATATTGCTCAAGACAAAAGAAAAGAAAGACTTGATAACAAAGAAGATACTAAGAACAATATCAGTTTAGAAGTGGGTAATCCGCAAACTTCTAATACGCTTATGTCTTGTCAAGAGAAAGGGGTAATCCACTCTTACTCAAGAAAAAACAAAGCTCTGATATTGTAAGTGTACTCTTGTCAATCTGTCAAGGACAAAGACTCGATGAGGGAAAATATACACCAAAAGGCTATCTCGATATAATAAGTCAAAATATAAACAAGTAGGTATATTAAAAGGAAACTGGAATGGCTATTGCCACAAGACAAGAAACTAAAGACTCTTGAACCTAGACTAAAAGCAAGAAAGGAGTTGACAAGAGTGAAGAAGCCTTCACTCTTGTCTCTATATATACTATCTAACTAGGGGCTACGTGGCGACGTTCTATAGGACCTCCAATATGTGTTGACTTTGTAGGACACATGTCTTGACTTACAAGGCAAGTTTTTCTACGTGTTGGCCACATAGTTAGCTTGATCTTCAAGCTAACAACATGTGTGGCACATGGCCAACTTGTTGACCACGTTTCTAATCCAAAAAGTCAATTAAAGACACCTATGAAGTCAAAGCAGCGTCTAGGAAGTTTCTAGGAAGCTTCTATATTAAATATTATAGAATTAACTTACTTTTATCTACTTTTACTTACTTCTACCTATTTCTATATGTAATTATTAGCTTACATGATTATGGCCGTGACAGGATGTCTATTTTATATCATAATAAAAGAACTATGAAAAATTGCAAGAATAAAATCAAAAGATCCAAGTTGAGCCACAATAATTACATTATCAAGACTGATAATTTCTTTAGCTTCAATTTCTATATGTATTAAGTGCAAAAAACTCCTTATAAAATTTTTGTGATACTTAGAGGTGAAGTAAGCCAAAGATCCTTCTATGGAAATTTCCTAAAATATCTAAGCTTCTAAAAACCTTCTACAATCATCTAAAATACCTTAAAACCTTCTAGGAACTTTTTGAACTTTCTTAAAATCTACAAGGACCTATTAGGGCATATTTGAAACTATCAAAAATCTTCTAAAATCTTCTAAAATCAAATAGAACCTTTTAGAACCTTCTAAAATCTTCTTCCAATATATGTTTGCAACATCACTTCTTTTTTAAACCATAAGTTCTGCTAGGAAGGATAGAATTAAAGCTTATTAAAGACAAAAGAAGGCAAAGATATATTGCATAGTATATGCCATATATTCACATTATTTTTTGTAAGTCAAAAGATTCATTGGTCTTAATAACCAAAAATAGTAAGTAATATTATCTATCATAGATCAAACTTAAATTTTTATGTCTTTATTGTAAAAATTTCATTCAAAAATTTCTTAAAGATATTTTTTATAAGAATGTTCTACTTCAATATTGATTGTTTTAAAGCAAATATTAGGTATTTTTTATTGTCTTCTTGATTTAAGTAATTCTTTACTTCAAGATTGGCTTCTATATATACTCACTAATATTGTAATTATGTCAATACACAAAGTATTCTAGTTGTCTTTGTCTTAATTTTAAATTAAGTATTTTTCATGTCAAATTCTTCATAACTATCTGATTTAATAAAAAATAATAATAATTATATTATTTTTAATATGCTTGATTTTCTATAAGATTCTAAAAGAGATATATAGAAAACATGATGTTTCTTGATGGATGATGATAGTTCTAATTAATAAGCAAAAAAGTTACTTTTTAAAGAATAAGAAATGATTCAAAGCTTGTATAGTCCACCTTGAAAAATGGTCAAGTAGTTTGTATATTGCATGAAAGAAACTATACTTTTTTGTTAATTTTATGATATATTTTATTTTTATTTTTTTATGTATCAATTGACTCTTTCAAGCATATTCGAGCTTTTTTACTTGAAGATTTAAGGTAGTTTAGATATCACCTATTTAGGTTGCAAAGTCATTTACTATTAGATTTTTGGATCTATCAACATATAACATATTTATTTTTGGATGATAGCCATGATTGAAGTAAAATGGAGTTTGTTAAGTAGATGCAAAAATCATATTATTATAGACAAATTTAACTAGAGATAAGTAAATTATATAGTGTTATTTGTTGTTGATTATATACTTTATATAATTTAACAGATTATAACTGTTGTATATAAATCATTTAATAGGTCTATAGAAATAAAAGACCATAGTTGCTTTAGAATTGATAGCAATTGAAGAACTTTATATCAACAATGAAAAATATATATATATATATATATATATATATATATATATATATATATTTAGAACATGAATTACAAGAGATGATAAATTTTTTGACAACTTTCTATATTTGAGGCTACCAAAGATCTCTAAAAATGAATTATAATATCTTGTTGAATCTAGAATATTTTTCAAATAATAATATGTTTGGAGATTACAAAAGAATAATAGTTTTTTAGGATATTCAAATGTTCTTTTAAGTAAAAGAAACCATCTTCAAATTTGAATTTATTCAAATCATTGCAAATATTATTTATACAATATTTACCATCAAAACAAGAAGGTCTATAGCCAAGGTTGTTTAAACTTGATAAAAAAAACAACCAATTCATTAGAATTGATACAATAATTGCTTGAATACAAAATTTCTTAGATTTTAATAGTGTTATTTGTTGTTGATTATATATTACTTGTCTTTCTTTTAGCAAGGTATTATTGTCTTTATAAAATATTTATTAAATCTTATTACTTTATAAATTGATATATAATAATTAAGTCAAAATAAAAAGTAAACATGGTCCAACTAACTCAACAATAATTTCAAACATAAGTTGAGATAAAATACTTAAGGTTCTTATTATTTATGTATAAAATTATTGGATATTAAGTACCTTCAAAAAAATGATACTATTACTAGAAAGAATCCACAATATCAAGAATTCTCTTGTTGTAGATCTCATAATTAATCTCAATGGTTAAGAATGTTTTGGATTAAAATATAACTAGATACAATCTCCCTTCTCTTTTACATTGTGATAAATTTACTTTCAATAAAAAAATCCAAGACATTTATTTTCATAAACTTTGATTTGAAAAAATATAAATGAACTAAAATAGAGATTGAAATAAATATTGTCTTCAAGCATTCTAAGGCTATCTCAACTTTTGACCCCTATTTGATTTTATTGAATATCAATTTTGCAAGCAAAGTAGCCATTTGAAGATTAATGATTAATAAAATTGTATAGAAGTTTATAATTCCAAGGAAGCATTAGACATCACATTGCAATTTTAGAGTTGTTAAGTTGCATATGGTCTTGATCTTTTTTAGATCCATCGTTAAATCTTTATTTGTAATGATATAGTTAATAAATTAAACTTGAAGCTCATAAAATATATCTTTTTAAAATTTGGCATATATTCTAGTGTCTTATAATCTTTATAAGTTAAGACAAACATATTTTTCATCTTCTTTTAAAGTCTTGAAATAACTTAAGATATTGTCTAAATAGCATATAGCAAAGTCATCAAAGACTTCACAAAATATATTATTTATCAAATATTTAAAAACATTTGGCACATTTGTAAAATCAAAAGACATGACATTGTATACAAAATGTTCATATCTTATACAAAAAAGAAGTTTTTTATTTGTCTCCTTATCAACACATATTAGATTATAAACTCCACAAAGATCTATTTTTTTTTATGGATTTTAACTTCATTCAATTAGTCAAAGAGCCCAAATATTAATGGCAAAGGATAATGATTTTTTACTTTCACTTTGTTGAAACAATAGTAATTGACAAACATCTTCAAAGATCCATCTTACTCATATAAGTATATAAATTATTATTATTATCAATCCTACATCTTGTTAAGCTGTCAATCTAACAAGCCATTTCTATAATATCAAAAAAAATCAAATTATTTTAACTGAAATTACACTGTATAAATTATTCTATTTACTTATAAAATTATTAAACTTACATGCTTTACCTTCATAAATATTGCCAATTTTTACCAAGTAGATTTGGCACTTGGAAAATTCTAAATTTCTATTTAGAATTTAAATTTCAAAAAACCAAAGATAATTTTTAGTTTAGATGTTAATATATCCGTTAATTTTTTTTAAAGCAATGAAATGCAATCAGAAACAAACTCCATTGCCAACAAAATCAGGTCTAAAAGTCAGTAAGAGCTCTACTTTTAGTAGGTCCTTTAACTTTTTGGTCAAAGTATTCCATGGATAGAAAGACAACTGCTGCGGAGGGCGAAAAGCAGTAAATAGTAGCGGGAAAACCGGTCAGAGTACGGACCCGTGGCATTAAATCGCACTTCAACTAGCTTCGAGGAAATTTCCGGTTAGAGAGTGAGGAAAGAGGGCCGGCGTAGTTCTCAAGAAGGCACACAATCTCTGGCGCACCGTGACGGGGGTAGACGCAGCCAGACGCGGAGGGCCACGTATAGAACATTCCACCCTGCCTCCGACGTAGAATAGCCCTCGCAGCATGGAGTGTTGCAACAGCACCGACGCAACCAGCCCCCTTTCCTCCACGCAACACGCCGTGTTTGCCTCTGCCCTTGCTGCAGCGCGCGCGATTTCTTCCCCCTCTACGCAGGTGCGCGAACGGTTAAAAGTTTCTGTGAGTTCTTCTCATGTTTTTTTGTAGTTTGCATGATTTTGTGCCGAAGTGGCTCTTTTTCTGCCCATGTCTGGGTTAATTGCGGCGTCAATTTTTCTCGTTGAGGTTTAGTGATGTGTGGTCAGTTGTCGATTTAAGGGACGATTTGTTGGATGCTTGTGCAATAGTCAGTTCGGAAGGCCGCAAGAAAGTTGCTGTTCCGTGCTCGGTATTTCTCAAACCCGAAACCATAGAAACTTAAGTGGATAAGTCGTTGGTTGGTGCTGTAGTTTTCTGGAGAGATATTTGGTTGCGTTAACGGTGTAGTTGTTTAGTATTGTTAATATCTCGATTGTGTGACGCACTTCTCTCGTGCATTTCAAAACGGTGATGCCTTTCGGCTTGGAGCATCCGAGTCAGTAAATTCCTAGATGCAGCGCAGATGCAGGGGTAGAGATTCATGCTCCACTTTTTCTGGACGTTGTGACTGCTCCTGCATTGGCACAAATCAAGTACTACACTGCGCAGTCCTTTCTATGTCACATGGCTAGTAGGACTTTCCATAGTTTTGTGCCTTTCTTCTAAACTGCTTTTCACTTATGGAGATTTGACCGTATGTTTTCTTCATTCGCAGGCTGGAGAGTAACGTCAACAAAATGACGGGAGGACCACACAGAATGCTGGCTTTTCTGGGACTCTTGTCGTCGCTCTCGTTTTTGTTGATTAGTCCTGTGGACGCGCAAAGTGAGTATTATGCTTGTCTTTCCTAGTTGCGGTTGTAGAGTGTTAACCTTAAAGAGTGTGTGTTTGTCTCCGTTGGAACTCAATTAATTTATTATCTACTCCTTGATTAAATTCTGAAATAAGTTATTCATTTTTGGACCAGAAAACCTTAGTCTTTTTAACTGCTGCGGTACATGACATCAGTTTTTTATCTGATATCTTTACTTTAATTTTTGTGGGTACTGTAGATAGTATGTGTTCGCAATGTCATCCTCATGCTCGCTGCTATTGCTCCACTTTTAGTGGACGTTGTGACTGCTCCTGCGTTGGCTACTACACAGGCGATGGGATTACCTGTACGTATACTACACAATTTCATCTTCTTGAGAGTGAAGTTTATTCTAATTTAATGTTGATAGATCTGAAGCGTATAACTTAACTATCATTTGAAATCTGCAAACTTAAGTTGGCTAGGACGTCTGAACCGCTTATATTTTTCACTACCAAAATTGTAAGGAACATGAAACATATGTCATGTTAAACTTGACATATGTTTAAAATGCACATTAATGCGTACGAACAGCCTACATTATTCGCACCAATAGGATTTCTTCATTACAACAGCAATGTTGAGTCTGGTCTATATTTTATCGTTAATCCATTTTTTATTGAGTTGGTCACTAAACACGTGCTTACATTATGGGCTCTATCACTTCAGGGTGAGTAGAGTTGTTATGGCACGACAAACGTTGTTGACTAAGTATTTGCTCGAGAGAATAAAGAGGAAGACATAATAGTGGATTTATTTATTTAATTTCCTTTATTTGGATTAGCATGGTCACAGGTCCGATCCGAGGAGACAATATCTGCTGATGCTTCTTTGACGCCTTGTTTTGCGCAGGCAGGTATTCAACGTGGCGTGTGGTCTTGTACGTATTAAGCTCAGTAATTGCATTTCTCTTGATTTTCTTCTTGTGTTGGACATGCCTTAAGTATCTGAGACGGAGAAGAGACGCGCCTGTCGATTATCCTATGCAACCTATGGGATATCCACCTTATGGTTACCCTCAACCTACTCAACCGCAATCAACTGCAAACCCAGCTATGTATTCATATCCTCCACAAAATGGGTATCCTGTGAATGGGTATCCTGCACAAATGGATAATCAGCAGCACCCGCCGCCGCCCAGTTCAAAGGTTCCTGGGCCATCAGGAACTGTGTGAGATCACTTTTCAGCAGCTCTAGGTGGTTGATGCAAGGTTGCATCCCATTGGATGTTTTTAGTGCCCCTGAATCTCCGAAGGCTTTCAGGTTGTAAAATAAATCGGCTCTCTCAATGGCCGGTATATTTCCTTGTGTGTGTTTTTTTTTTTATTATTTTTATTTTTTATAATGTTCTTATTCTTCTTCTTCTGTAAGGTGCAGATGGAATAGATGTATTAGCGGCAATGATTTTTCACACTACAGGTTGTTCAAATTGTATAGATAGTCTTTTACTTGATGCTTGGGTAGAGCAATCCTTCACGCTTTTTCGTCGATTTTTCTGAATTGCAACGCCCAATTCTGTGGGTGTTACCTTTCTTGAACACACCAATTACTAAATCCTCGTAATATCTTCCATCTTTGATCAAGACATTGTATGATGACTTAGACATTCAAAGGCAACTACCCAATACATTTTGCATGCTTGGTCACCATGAATGAAGTTTTAGACATTCTCCTTCCATTTCTGACATGCCTTAATTCTGTTATGATTGTAACGAATATACTATGACTCTGTCGTTAGTTATCTGGTTTAAATAGAAGCCCATCAAAGCACAACCTTAAATTTTAGATCATCCCCTCCAAGGATATATTACACAAGCACGTCTTTTGCAAATTGGGTGATAGGGGTCCACTGCTGAGTGTTTACATTTCAAATGTTGATTTTTCCACTATTTTGTGATTTGGGTTAAACTAATAGGTATTTGTTGTCTTGGAAATCTTTTTTTGCCAAGTTTGACTTTGTATTCATCCAAATAGTTGTTGGTACTTCTAAAAAGGTCATCAGAGTCAAGTTTTAGGTTTTTGCACAAAATTAAACAAGAAAAATTGAGTGGAATTGTGATCTAGTTGCACTTGCAAAGCAATCACTTAGCATAAGTATATTAGTATTGTTTTCTAATCATCCACATTGATTTGTCTGTAGAGTTCATGTAGGATGATCACTCCAAATTCTTTTGTTAGAATGTAGCTAACTTTATTTCATTGTACAAATATATTTCAACTTACTAGATTATAACAAGATTTTTTTATTTTTTTATTTTCCTTTTCCATTTCTTTTGCTTTTGGAGATTTATACTAAATATAGTCTATATAAGATTATTATTGTTGTGCAATACAATTCAATCTTTATTTAGAAATATGGATGAATTATATTGAAAGATGATAATTTATTATTTAGGCATTTAAAAAAAAAAAAAAAAAAAAAAAAAACTATATATGTCATCCTAAAAAAGATGAATTGAATAAAAGATATACTTACTCCCATTGTCTCAAATTATTTGTATTTTTGCACCATAACTCTTTGTTTTGGTGTATTTTATTCTTATAAAGTCAAATGGAAGTATTTCTTAAAATTTTAGTATTTTTTAGATTTAAATTAGACTTATACGGAAGTAAGAAGTTAAAAATTGAGAAAATAAATTTATAAAAGAATTTATGTTTGAAAAATTTGGACAATAATATCTATACCTTGTATCTTTCTTCAAAATTTTGGATTCAATAAAATATTTCAATATTGGTTTTATTAGAAAATGTGTATTTATGACTTATTTCTTTGTGGCTTTAAAGGGTTGGATAAGTTGAGCTCTTTAGTTGATGAGGAGTTAAAAGAAGACTCTTCTTGATATAAAGGCTTTGAACAATTCTTTGCTCGTTAAAGTATTGAAGATTGTTTCTTGATCTAATAAGTTGAGGACTTTATTTTTTATGTCTTAGCCAACTAATTACCAAGGCATTCTAGTACATGCATTAGATTCTTTATTAGATCATAAGAAGTTCTTAGCTAGTCTTTTAATGGATTTTATGGCTTGGAGTGATCAATTTTATATAATGATAAAATAGATGAGAAATGTTAAAATAACATAATTGACTATCAAGATTCAATCTATTAGTTTTAGTCTTCTTCAATTCTAATATTTGGGTTTCTTTAGACCTTGTATATGAAAAAATTATCTATTATTAGAAAATCTAGTTCTAAGCAAATATAGTAGCCAACATAAGAGATTTAATTTTCATTTTGTCTTTGGTTTGAATTGTATTTTTTAATTTATTTCAAGAAAAAGGATTCTTAAAGCTATCTTTAAAAACTCTTGTATCAAAAAACTTTTAAATAAATAAAAAATAAAATAATATTTAATTGTTTCTATTCTATGATTTGAATTTTATTTTTTTAGAGGATTCTAATAGAGATGTTCTTATAAGAAAATATAAACCAAAATAATCACATTTGTAAAATTAGACTTTTATATAATTTATACATCAGAAAAAAGAAAAAAGAAAAAAGAAAAAATCCAAGATTCAAAAGATGGTAAATTTTCTACACTTGTTGGTAAAATTTGAAGTTTTCAAAATTTTAATAATTATTAGCTTTTACTAATAAAAATGACCACGTGATTTAATTTTTTTAAGTTTTTTTTTTTTTTATTTTTCAATTTATCTTTTTCTTCTTGTATTTCTTAGATTTAGATTATTAAATAATAAAAACTATAAATTCAATACTAATATCAAATAAATTATATAATATATCTTTAGTATTATAACAAAGAAATTCAAGGTTTTGAATAGACCACTTTTAAACCACACATCTAAATTAAAAAGAAGAATTTCTAAATTTTCAAGTCATTATCAAAAAGAAAAGATAAATTGAAAAAAAAAATATATATATATATATATATACACTATAATAAATTGAAAAAAAAGAATTAATATTAAAATATTTATAATTATAGATACTTGTACATTTTTCTTTTCTTTTCCAACAAGGTTCTTTTAACCAGTATCTTCTAATATATGTTGTGTTTTAGTCCATCAAAAAAAAAAAATTAATATGTTCAAAATTGAATGAAGCTTTAACTCTATGCATGTGAAGATGCATGGCATAAGGATGTCTTCTTAGTAAAAGAAAGGTGTTTGTTTAGCGGTTTTCTTGATTTATTGAATTCACTTCTAAAGATTGTAATTATTTTAAAAAAATATTTAATATTAGTGTTCAATTATCAATGACTTCTACATGTGTTAAGACTTTCTTTAAAATGATAAGTTTTTTTGTTTAGAAAAAAAAATTATATAATAATATACTATAATTTTTATTTCTATAACCTCTAGAGATATACATATTTATATTTGAAATTACCTAGATTAGAGGAGTTATTTAGAAATAAGTAGAAGTAAATGAATTTGATAATGTTTTGTGGAAAAGCTTTTCAGAAGCTTTATAGATGCAAATTTGACTTTCTAAGTGTTTGTAGGTAATTGATAGGTTAAAAACTTTGACAAAACGTTGGTCACTTGTTGTAAAAATTGGCCATTTAATGCACATGTATAAAAATTATATTGTCTTATAAATTAAAGACATATCTTGTAAGTTAGAGACGTGTCAAAGATCATGGAAAATATCACTGTGTAGCTCTTAGTTAGATAATATATATAAAAACAAGGATGAGGTCTTTTTCACTTATTTCTAGTCTAGTTTTGAGAATTTTTATTGATTTTTAGTCTTTGGCAATAGTCATTCAAGTTTCTTTTCGAATATACATACTTTTTTTTTTTTTTGTAATCTCTCTTAGATATACATTTCACTTGTTTATTTACATATTTTAAGTTCTTGTTCTTTTACAATATCATATTTTAAATTCAAATCTTTATTTTCTTTGTTTTATATATATATATATATATATATATATATATATATATATATATATATATGCTAATCTTTCTATTTCATTAAAAAAATATTTGAAGTTTTGTATTTGATTTGTATTAACTAAGATATGTTTTAAGTCTTCCTTCAATAAATTGTATGAATTTTCTAAAGCCTTAATAATAAATGCAAGAATACAAGCCATATCAAAATCAAAATTTTTTTGTACATATACATAATTTAAATAGATAGATTTTTTTTTTAATTCTATTATTTTAAAATCATAATTTATATTAATTAATCTATAGACCATCTTTCTTTTTAAATAAATCTTTAAAAATATCTTCTTAGAGAGTATAATATATAGTCTTAAAATATGAAATTGAATTTTTTAAAAGAACAACAATAGGATCTCTTCAAATCAAAAACATAAAGAAATATCAAGAAGAAGTATAAGTTCAAAAGTTGATGATTTATAATTTTTAATATAGATTTTTCTTTAAGTAATAAAATAAAAATATTTTTATAAAATTAATTAAAAAAATTTAAAACTAAAAATTAAAATTAAAAAAAAAAAAAAACAAAGATAAAATTGAAGAAGTAAAAATGAAATTTTAAAATAAATATATTTTTCTTTTAAAAAAGACAAGAAAAACAAGAACAAATGTAAAGACAATACTTAGATTGTTTTAAGACTTATATTGATAAGATGAAGATTTCTCTTTTCTCGCATCCTTATTTATAATGTGAGAATTTTGTCCTAAAAAAGCTTCTTTGGAGAATTATATATTAATGAAGTATGTTAGAAATTTTAAAAAACTTTTGGTAGATACTTCTAAAAAAATAAAAAGATATGTCTAATAGTTGTAGAAGGATGTAGATGCTTTTTGATGGCTAGAGAAAACTACAAAATCTTTTAAAAGAATATTGAGAAATTTCTAATAAATTTAGAATATTATAAAAATAAATTATAGGAAATTATAGTATTTTCTAAAGATTTATGTGAAGTAATAAAAATAATTAGATGGTTTAAAAAAAAAACTGAAGATGCTTAATGTTATTAAGGTACTAAATGTTGTTTGTAACAACTTTTTATTTGAAACACTGGACTTCATTGTTATACTATTATACTAAATAAAGGTATTATTATAGTTAGGTTTTACTTTTATATTATTTCCATCAACTATGTCTTTTAAAAAAATAGACTTATAAATACTAAAAGAATTATCAAACACAAATATAAGAAATCTCTTCACATATATAAAAGTATAACTATTGTTTCAATTTCTTAACAATTTTAAATCTACATAGATACTTTTTTTCTTTCTAAAATTTTACAAAGATGGTATGATAATTTATATTGAAAATAAAGCATAATATCCATAAATAAAAATAAATAAATAAATAAGTATATTTATTGTCTTTTTTCATGATTCTAAATTTTAATTTCTATTTTCTATTTTTTTTAAAAATCAATACAAAGACACCACCATATTCACCATCTATTCCATCTAAGTAATATCTATAATATAAAATTTTGGTTATTTATATTACAAAATAGAATTTTTCTTATAATTTTCTTTTATCACAAACTTCCATCCGCTTGTTGCTTCTACTTGTTATCTCTTTCACTAATTAATTAGATTTATTTATTTATTTATTTATTTATTATCAATTTTTTTATCTACAATTCTAAGTATTTAAAACCAACAAAGTCTGATTACATACCTACAAAAGATTATTTTGATATATTAATATTTTAAAGTAGAAAAAATTCATCTGTAACTTTTGTATTCAAAATATTCAATTTGTTTCTTAAAAGTGGTTAATTATTTCTTTTATATTTTAGTTTTATCAAAAAACAAAATAATATAAACCCAAAAACTGCAAATATCTCTATATTAATCTAATTTCTACAACATGAAATACAAGTATTAATAAAATATTCGTATCAATTTTTAACAACATTATTTATCCACATCATTTTAATATAAGGTGCTAGAAACTTTTTTAACTTCAATCAAATCTATTTATCCACATCATTTTAAACATCTTTTAAAAGAAATCAAACTTGCTTTAAAATTTTGTTTTTTTTTTGTTGTAAAAACCTATTTAATATTGATTATCTTCATAAACTACAAAAAAATTGGGATAATTGAGAATCTAAAAAGAAGATACTCAAGTTTGTAATAATCATGTATAGTTTCAAAGAGTCAATGGCATGTCATTTCAATTTCTAATTTTTTACATAAGAAGAATTGTTTTGCCTCATCCTACAATTATAATTACATTTTGACCATTACTTAGTAGTTTCACCATTGTTTCACGTCTCTTACTATGCTTAATGTCTCCTTAATAAAATAATAATAATAAATAAATAAATAAACCTTTGTTACCTTTTTCTGTCTTTTTTTCTCTACTTTCTGCTAATTGAAAACAAAGAACACAATAGTAATGAGATGGGTAATTTTGACTAACAAAGGCATAGCAAACAACCACACTTCACCAGAAATATATCACATTGAATGATTATTGCAATAAACTTAAAATACGATGCAATCCACACTGAATGCAAGAAACTGCACATGCAGCATTTCCCGCAAAGCTTGTGTGCAAAGTGAGGATTCTGCTTCTTTCCTTAATTACATTAAAACTTGTAATAGAAGAGACGTCCAAGTACACAACAATTTGTGAACACAAATAAATTGAAATGGAATTTAAATAGTAAATAAACTGGTGATCCTGTCACAAAAGAAACGTTCTGTACACTCGTAGCCTTGATGATCATGTTCAACACGAGTTTGCTGGTGGTTTATGTGGAACAGAAACGTCAGATAAATATAGGCATTTGAAATACCAAACACAGATAGAAGTCGTCCAGACGATAAGTTAATTCAGACCTTTCGTTGTGTTGGCAACAGATGCACCGTTCACAGATTTGCTTGCAATACCTCGCAACTGGAAGCAATGACCGGAGCTACCACACATACTTTTCTAAACCGAACCGACCATGAACAACCACACAAATATTACAAGTTGACTAACCAGAATCGCAGAAAAAAGATAAGGAGTCTATTGGCATTCATCCAAAAGTTCCATTCTCCTTCGCCAGGAAGAATGGATAAAAATATTGAGAATATGTACATTTTTGAGCTTCATCCTCGTTGCCCAAATGACTGCCCGAAACAATTACTTTGATTTTCATTGTTTGATGTCGGATCTCATTTCGATACTCGTAACTTACAAAACACTCTGGAACACTCACTAATTTCCTAGAATTATAATACAGATGTATTCCAGAGTACATCCTTTTCCTCATTTCTAACCCTGCTGAGAGACGACGTCTGGTCAAGGACCGAAGTAGTAGTTTTACACTACGGTCTACTCTTTGTTGAGTAGGAGAAAAAATCCTCACGTAGCTGAACCGAATCCTCAAGATGGTAATAATATGTATCAAACTACCGGCTAGTGTGTTTAAAGGTATAAGACAAGAGAGGAAAAATGATCAGCCTCCTGAGTTAAGGACATGTTTACACACTAATACATCAACGAGGCTGCTTCTTGGACTAGGGGTCTTGTAGCATGTACATGAGTCTCCGTTCTGTGATGCTCCTCCTCCCAGGGCTGGAATGTCCTCCCCTCCTCCATGTGCCGCACAAACGGAACAAACAGTTTCCAGTTTTCGCTGTGGAACAAGCTCTCGCACATTCTCAAGAAGGTAAAGGCAGCCATTGGTTCGTACTCTTCATGACAATCTCCATGCTCATTCATACGTAATCTTGATTTGCGCACTATCTGTTCGTGGGCTGAACTGTCAAACCTTGGAAGAGCATTCTCTCCAGCCATGGGAATTCCAGCTCTCCTAGTGGCTAAAGCCACTTGTCTCACTAATCCTTCTGGACTGCATGAAGCTTGTGAGGGCTGCTCGTAGTCCCGCATTTCAATACACGTGAAGTTTAGAGTAACGCCATACTTGGCGAACATTTGAGCGATAGTAGCATATCCATCTCTTGTTCGAGTGTTGTAGTAACCTGCTGTCAGTTCAGCAGCATGACTTCTTGTGCCGTAATGCCAGTGAATACCAGCAACTTTGCCTGAAATAACGGCTCCAGTACCCTTGAAAATGCCTGAAGCCGATGCTAAGAGCCGTTCGCCGTGAGCAAGAATCATTTCGGAATACCACTCCATAAAGAACTGGCCATATTCTGAGCACCATGAACCATCCCTGTGAAAGAACCCAGTTTCATCGGGCCACTGGTTATAGTTTCCAGCATCGCAAGGACCTCCGTGGCCCCAGGCAGGCTTTCCTAATGCCTGAGCATTGGCTTTCAAACTTGCAAGCATGTACTTGTCGTAGCATTGGAACTCGCCGATGCCTGGAAATCGCCACCTTCCTTCACTTTCCGGGTATGAAGGATACCGCAATTCACCAGCTGGTCCCATTCCGCATTGTATTTCCTGTGTCAAGTTGGGAGTCAACGATAAGGAGAAAACCGAGTACAATAGGGTAAAGCAAAAACATAAACAAAGCATTTCCAGAACGAATTAAAAAATGACGAATGCATGGAGTGACATTTAGAAGTGCACTAATATTAGACACAATGCTGCCAACATTCAGTAACACTACACTGAGTCAACAAGGAACACGAGACGTACGATGATGACGTCTCCAAGAAGATCTTTGAAGTTGTCTCTGAAACTCCTCATGAAGTCTGCATAGCACTGAACAGGTGTTCTCCCTTTCAGGGCTGGCACGTTGTCCGCGCCAAGGGAGATGTACTCAGCATTCCGTTTCCCTGCCTTGTCTGTGTAGGCCAAATCAGGATTCTTCTGAACCTCTTCCAAAACCCAAGGAGGCAGAGGAATACTGCACATATTGAAAACAGATCACATCAGTGAAAAACTCCCAACTCATAACTTCACTGATGTCTGTAAGCCAATTTGCGTATACCCTGATAATAGACGCATTTTGGATACAAAATTCGACGAGGACTTTTCCTACCTGCCAGAACAACACGAATCTAGCACAAAAACTGACAGACTGACAAACAAGCCGTGGACATGAGAAGCGGGCATGTTGTATAGTACTGCTACTACGAGAGGAAAACAAAATGAAAGAAAATGAAAGAAAAAAACACAAATAGAAGAGTTAAGTTGAGTTAAGAGAGAAAAAGAAACTATTACACTTACTTGCAGCTATCACCAACGTTGCCACCACACTGATGAAAGGACATTACAGCCTGCACCTTCAACCCATGCTTCCGAACCATGTCAATCAACTCGCGATATGCAGACCAGTTATAATTCCGGGGTCCTTCCTTCTCCACAATTCCCCACCATACATCCATCATGACACCTTCAACACCAGCAGATTTCAAAGCCAGCAAAGAGGCATTCAATGCACGACGCCTTTTGAGGGTATTGTTAATGTTCACGCTGTCCAAAGGGAGCATCACAAACACAGGCACACCTCCGTGAACTCCTCTACTTGTTGGTGTCTCGTGAAACGCGTGTTCCTTCCACTCGTCGGCTGTGTTGTCCCAGTCAAGCAATGATTTATGTTCTGGAAACATAGTATCCATTTGCGTATGATGAGTGGCTCTCAGCCCACCCGTGGAGTCACCCGCACTTCCTGTGTTCTTCCTCCACCATTCCTCTGAAGAGAGCGACCCAAAAGACGAGACAGACCCAGATGAGGTATGCGCAACATGTCCATCCGACTGATTTCTCTGCGAGCATGATACGCCTGGAACTGCTCTTCTCGCTGAGAATCGAGCCAATTCTACTCTACCACTAGACGAGGCTTCAGACTGCAACCTGTCCGTCAGAACATTGCCGCAGACGAACCTATTCGCCAAAGTGGCACTTCTACACATAGCGGACGACATCTTTACCCAACAAAAAGAAACTACTCAACCATTCACTGCGCTAATCAACCTTTCGCAAACCAACTTCCAAGCTGCCGCACTTCACCAAAGCCGTCCTTCAAGCTACACCCCAGTTTCGCAATCGCTAATTACAATCTCTCAAACGCCACCCCTTTCCCCCGAGATTCTCGGTTCGAATGGCTTCTCAATGCAAGTTGTTCAAAATCAGCTCACTCCTTCTCAAAGAAATCTTCCCAACTGAACAATCACATGAACCCTCTGCACTTCCTCCAATGCCACAATCATGCACAACTGCCACAAATCCCGAAGCCACCAAGCTAAAGTCGACCCGATAGCCCCTTTGCAAGGATTGTTTAGCGAGGATCCTAATCCAAACTCAGATCTCACAACTGCTTCTTATCTCTCTACACAAGGAAGGCGAAGGATGCGGAGTACGAGCGATCAAGAGGCAGAGTAGTCCGAGCAAGGAGCGGGGGGGGGGGGGGGGGGGTTGTTCTGGAAGTGCGGTGCAGCGAGCGGGGATAAATACCTGACGTTAAGCAAGCTCGTGGATGTCGGGCCCGATTGGCAAAATCTAGCTCGCGGTCACGATTCTGACTCTGGGTTTGCCTTCTTCCTCCATCCGCGACGCTTTATCCGTTGCGTCGGGATTGCCCGTCCAATGTCGCGATGCCTGCAATCACGGCCGCTTCGCCCCTGTTCCTTCGTCCGGACGCCATGGCTTTTCCTACTCTGCGGCATCGGGGCTGGCCTCCGTTTCGCTGAAGCCGAGAAACGGATGAACAAATGCTGACATCTATGAATGAATGGATGGATGGTAGTGTAGATGGACGAAATGTATGGCTCTGGGTCCCTCGTGGCAACGGGCCTGGCAGAAAGCGTGTTCCCGGCGAGTTGTAATTTTCACAATTGTTAAAAAATTAATGATGATGATAATCATGTATTGGGTTTTATTTTATTTTATTTTCTAAAATATTAAATTTATTCACGTAAACTTCTTTTTATTTATTTTTTATTATTACTATTCTTTTTGTGTTTTGAAAATAACTGATGGATGAGGATTATTTATAGGCAACAAAATAAAACTTAGAAACAAATGAGTTTTTTTTTTTTTTTTTTTTTTGAGTAAATCAACGTAGGATGAATGTTTTTAATGCAAAAAATTTGGTACTCAAAATTCCAATATTGCTCCTTGTAGAAGAGCAGTATGGATAGGATAGCGTTACACAATACATGCATAAATAGTCTCAATGTTTTTTTTACATTATTGGTAATTAGTCTATTATTTAATACTCTATAACCATTCAAAGTATTGATGGATGATATGAAGCAATGGGGGGGGATGCCATCTTTTACCACTAAAAAAGAGACAGAATATTTTTTTAAAAAAAAAAAAAAAAAAAAAAAAAAACGTATGGGATTCAATTTTTCTATTAACTGGATTGAGTCTCCACTAATGTTTTTTTGTATGACATTCCAATGTTCTTCAAACATCAAGGATCCCAACTGATGCTTCCCTTTTAGCACTCCATAATCCTTTGAATATTCAGAATCCCAATAAAAGCATATTTGTTTCTTTTAACATTCCAAAGTAATTTGAACGCTGAGGATCCCAACAAAGAGAGGGGTGGCCACTAAACACAAATGCTTTGCAAGGTGGTCTCTAGCACAAGCTGCTTTAAATAATATTGGAAAATTATTTCCCTTTGTCCCCTACCATTCACAAGTGTAAAAGACTCACATTAATTGTGACATTCTCTCATTATAATCCTCCATTCCATTCTTCTTGTGTGATGTCCCAACTCCCATCTTTTAAAATCAAGTATAAGGAAGTCCAAATTCAAAGGTTTCCAGTCATAAAAAAAATAAAAAAATAAAAAAAATAAAAATAACATCAGGAGGGAAACCTTGTCAGCAATAGTGACACTACCCACCCACACAAAAACAAACAACAATTGCATCTTCCAAAAAAATAAAATGAATGAATGCTGAACTAATGAAATCATTTTAATTTTTCAATATCCATCACAAGCAAAATCAAAAGATTATAAGCCACAAAGGAGCTACTCCCAGTAGAAGCGTCTAAATAGGTAGGGAGCAAAGATGAGGCTATTAGAAGACCAAACTTGAAACCACAGCAGGGGACACACATGGCAATGGAATATGCCTTTCTTCATGCTTTCTCTCACTCCCTCCCTCAATCACTCACTCAGTGAGTCTGTCTGTCTGTCAACCCCACCTCCTTGGGGCTATACAGCTGTGGAGACACATACAATCAAACACAAGCACATATACACACACACACACAGAGAGAGACACAGCATATACATAGGCATAGGCATTAGGCACATAGGCACAGCTCAGGGAGGTGAAAACGGGGACTGGCTGTGCAAAGCAGGTCCATACAGCTGCACCTGTTTGGAGGGTCAGGAAGAGAGTGCATGAAAATTCAAAAAGGGGGTCTTCAGAGTCATCCAACTCCTTCTCTTCCAAGTGTTCAGTCCTCAAAGAGCATTGGATTTGCACCATCCATTCTTATACTTCAACACGAACACATGGCAGAGTTGTGGAATCTTTGATCCCACTCTCTCCCATATCTCCCCCCCCACACCCACTCCACCCAAATCCTTCTGTACCCAGTTTCAGGATATTTGTCGAATGAAGATTCTCTCTTCATTAAAATTGCAATCAGGATAGATAATTAATGATTGAATGATTTGGCTTTCTCCTTTATTGAGTGCTTCATTGGGTCCCATTTCCTAATTGCTCATCCCCCACACATTGACCATTCATTTTTCAAGTGTTTGTGATGTATTAATAGAAAGTAGAAAACAAACTTGAACCAAACAAGATGTTTCGACTTTGTGCAACCCAAGTGGGAGTTAAAACAGCTAAACCCGTGTAGCACTTAACCTGTACTACATTAACACTGAAAATGGAGAGAAGATCTTTTTGTATGTGTGTGTTTGTTTGAGTTGCCACATGGACTTTTTTGCTCCCTACACTTGGAGTCTCCTCCTCCTCTGTGCCACGATTTACTACCGCCACTATAAATATATATATATATATATATATATATTTGTACAGCAGTGCAGTTCTATTGTGGCTGTGACTTTGTCATTTTTCGAACTGTAGCTTCCAGTCACATTGTTTGGGTGGATGGTCAAGCCTAGAATGTCACAAGATTTTTAGTTGCTCTTTCCTGGTCCTTCCTTGGTCTAATACATGTCTCATAACATGAAGGAATTGAGAATGGAATTTGAGTATGTCATTGCATTCTTGAGAATATTGAAAACAAAATGATATTGAGTTGAAGTGTTAGTAACAAATAAATAAGATTTTTTTGTTATCACTTATTTATCAATTATATAATTTTTGGATACACTATACCAACAAAAAATTTATTCAACTTAGATTAATTAGTTACATGTTCCTCATTCATTTATATTTACTGTGTATCTATTGTTCTATGGAATATATCGTGTTATTTTAAGAAGATGTAGGTAATATTAGCAAAGACTTTCAATTAACTTACTTTTGGTTGACAATGCTATTGTCATAGTTTTTATTTTTTTAAGAATGACTAAAATAAATATATATATATATATATATATATATATGTTTGTATTACAAAAAATATTAAATATAAAAAAAACTGAAATTTATTTAATTCTTTGCAAAAATAACAATGTTATAATTAATGATTAGTTTTAAAAAAAATCCTTTATTTCAAGTTCACTCATATATTTAAAAAATAACTTGTGCACTGAATCAAATGATCCTCCACATATTACAGTATATTTTTAAGAGTAAAAATTCAATCACATTTGATTTAAATATTCTAAAAATAATATAATCATTCTTAGTTCTGATCATTGTGCACTATTCTACCTCTTTGGCAAAACTATGATTTTAACCTTCTATATGTATACATGTATAAAAGAAGAATTTGAGACCTCAGCAACATATATATATATATATATATATATATATATAAAAAATTTTCAATAGTAAACCTCACAGTTAAAATAAGAAAAAATTGAACAAAGACCTACTGTTCATTGTTTCAATCTGGAACCCATTTCAAACGTTATTTCGTACACAATTAAACAGGTTGAGCATTAGGATCATCCTTGGTACTTCAGGCCATCCTTCCCCTTCGTTCGTCGACAAAGCGAACGAAGTAGAACGATCGTCGACCATAAATACGCAGACCGTGAGGATCGGCAGAGACCCGGCTGACGTCCGGCGCACATCCCGGCGCCTCTTCAGGAATTGGCCGCCGCGACAGCCCTTCCGATGCCCAATTCGTCCGCCGACGATGTCGACGGAGTGCACGTCAAGTTAGCAATCCCGCCGGAAAATCCAATCTTCGTTGGACGGTGTATACGTCGGCCTTACATTATCCTACGAAGTGACGAGATCCGTCATAATTGCCAGGGTTGGCTCGTCGGGGCATTCAAAGACTCATGGATGGATGAAGAATGAAATATCGTCGCTGACCTCTAGTTCAAGAGGATGGATGATTATCTATCTTTCCCATTGTTTGTTTGGTGAGTTTTAGGTGGAGAAGTTCTAAAATAGTTGTTTGCCACTTTTACGAATTAGAGCTGCGTTGGCTAGATCTGCTTTAGCTCATACGTCATAAGTGTGTTAGATAGAATGAATTGTCTTATAATTAATTCAGCTTTATTTACTTAAATCCATGTGTGTGGCAAAAAATGTGTTTCTCCGCTCATGATTTTTTTGGATCACGTTTTTGAAAGCAATTTCCAACTTTATGAACAGTGCAAAGTTGATTCATAATTCAGACACCATGTGGAAATTAATGTTACTGTTCCTACTTATGCTTTAACTTTAGTTATGTGGTGATAAATTCATATTAAATGCATATACTTTTTTATAAGAGTTTAAATGTATAAAAAATATAAATATAAACACAAATGACCTTAAAAGAAACGATATGTATATATATATATATATATATATAGAATGATAAAATTTCCATATGAGGTTTAAGATTTAGGTAATGTATTTATAAGTTGCAAATTTCATTACTAATTTTAGTACACATATGTATATGTATCTTGGTCATTTGATATACCTTAAGTAATATTCCTTGCTTACCTAATAGTATTTGTTGGAACAAGAGTCTTTCCTAAGCTAAAACTTGTATCCTTTAACTAATATTTTTTCTTGTAATTTATAAACTTTTAATCAACCAAAGTTTATAAATTAAGTTATATATATATATATATATATATCTTTATATACATAATAATAATAATAATAAAGCAACCCAATTTTTTACTAGAGCAATCCATTCTATCTTCACCATCATTGCATCCTTGCAGTCCCCATTCTTGTTCCTAACTGTTTCCTATTTTCAACCATTGCTAAGAATAAGGGTGGGGACAAAAAATGTTGGAAACAAGAGCAAGAGGCAACAGTTGAGAACATAGGAATGGTTGGGAACAGGGACAAAGAACAATAGTC